CCCCCCGGGGGGGATGGCCACGCCGCAATCCCTTTTCCTCCATTCTCCTCTCGGGATCTTGGGCACACATGCACACGCCCCCGGCATGAGTTTAAGTCACCGGGTCCGGGACTCGAACCATGGTTGACTATGTGGGAGTCCAGCGACATAGCCATTACGCTAACTGCTGGTCCCGAGGCTGCTGTCTCTTCACAACCCCTCCCCAGACACTGGCCTCGCTCCTCCCTGGCCCCCTGGTCACTCCTGACCTTCACCCCAGCTGTTTCTACAGCCGCGAGGCAGGCCCAGCCCTCAGCTAACAAGCTGACAGCAGCTCACAGCCAGGACCGGGCTTTCCGAGCCGTTCCCGTCTTCTCTGCGTTCAGAGGCTCCGGAACACCCACCAAGACAGGCAAACCTCAGCACTGGTGCTCCCCCGGCAGGAAGGCCGATGCCCGAACTGCTGCAAGGACCCGATGCCGCCCCAGAACCTGCGTTGGAGCAGGTCTGTAGCCTCTGCCACAGAAGCACGCTCAGTGCTCGGCCTGGTGCTGCAGCTGGCCCTGAACCTGTGACCGCCAAAGTCATGGCGGCTCTCTGCTAGGCCCCTGAGTGGTTTGGGACTCAGGACCCATGTGCCCCTGTGGGTGGCACAAGAGTGGTCTGTGGCCTGTGTCCGGGCTCAGGCATCCCGGGGCTAGTATCGGCTCATGGAGCCCTGCACACCCTAAGGGGGCCAGACTGGAGGGGCACAAAGTGCATCTATATGGCCAGGAGCCCCCACTGGACGTGCTCCTTGGCAGCCCACTCTCTACCTCCAGGGGTCTCGAACCAAAGGGGATGCCCAGTGCCATCTCCAGACTAGACGCATCCCGAGAGCGGACAGGAGACAGGGACGGCTGCACGGAGGCTCTGAACGCGGCCTCGGCAGACAGGACAGCCTACAACACGGCCCGGGTAAGTGTGAGCAGGAACCACAGGCGGGGGGCGGGCCCAGGGGATGCCACACCTAAATGCAAACACAGGCAGGGTGGGAGCCGGCGCCAGCCAGAGGGACAGGGCCAGCGTCCCCTCACTCTCTTCTGGGGGCGGCCCGCAGGTCTCACTGTGGATGTGGACCTCTCCTGTGTGGACGTCAGGAAAGGTCTCACATGTCCACGAAGACCAGGAAGCACCAGCCCAGGCCGCCAACCAGCAGCACGGTCACGTGGATCCCCGACACCAGCAGCTCGTTGAGCAGGCGGAAGTCCACGCGCCGGCGGCAGCAGCAGCAGCGACAGCTTGAGCTGGAAGCGCAGCAGGGCGCGCACGCCCAGGTACTGCAGGCAGAAGAGGGCAGCCAGCGCGCCCCAGAGCGCCGCGGTGAACAGGCTGCAGCTGAAGTAGAGCAGGAAGCGGATGAAGCCGTACAGCCAGCGCGTCTTCACGTACACGTCGAAGTTGTTGTACTTGGTGCGGGCCAGGTGCGAGGCGCGCACGGGCCCGCAGGCCGCGTGCAGGCAGGGGGTGTGGGGGCCATGGAAGGAGCGCACCCGCCGCGGGATGGGCATGACCGGCATTGGGCCGGCGGCGGTGCTGGAGCAGAGGTGGTGGCAGTGTCCGGACCGGCTCGCATAGGTGTCATGGGCACCCGGGCCAAGAGCCCGCAGCTGTGTCCCAGCGGAGGCGTGGGCCTGTGGGGGCAGTGAGCGAGAGGCAGGGCAGGCCCCGGGGACCAGAGGTCACCCCTCCGGGGACAACAGCCAGAGGAAGCGGGCACAGGAAAGCCAAGGCCAGGGCGGGCCCTACAGGCACCCAGGCTCACCTGGCAAACCTTCCTCAAGGGCACTCCTCAGGGACCCAGGCGGGGAAAACGAGAGGCCAGCTCCGGGATGCTGCGGGAGGTGGCTCAGATCAGACCGAGGGAGGGGACAGGCTCTAGCCAGCCTCACCCCTCCCTCCTCCTCGACCGCTGGCTCCTACTCAGGAGCGGCTACTGCCCCGGACTGCAGGGCTGCTGTACCTAGGGGTAGGTGCCAGTCCTGGACAGCACACCTGAGTCTGGGTGCGGGACGGGGAGCCGCAGAGCTGCCTGCAGCGCCTTAACAGCCAAGTGTCGGGCCAAAAGGAGAGGTGGCGGTTCGAGTCCCCTGCTGGGCCGACCCCTGTGCCTCACTGCCCAGCAGTGACCTTGGGCAGGTTACCAGCTGCGGGAGGTGCAGGGGGGGCCCGGCCGAGGAGCGGAGACGGGCCCCATCCCCTGCCAGTGCCCTTTACCGCTCCCCCCAAGACTCGCGGGCG